AGCACAATGCAGCTCCTGCCCCCTCCTCCCTTCCTCTCTTGCTCTGCAGCTATGACCAGTTCCTACCAACCACAGTCACTGTCACGGCTGCTACCTCCTCCCTCCTTTTTTTACGGAAACATAATCCATCACTGCAAGCCCTGCTCGTGAGACAGCAGTCTGAACAATGTGTTCAGTCTGGCTGGTGGCTGCTGACTACTTATGGGAAGGCTCCTGGTTATGTTATAGCTGAGCATGGTCCTGCACAGCTCTTGGGCACCCAGAGGGCTGCTTCCAGAGCCCCACTTTCCAAGTGGTGAAAGACAGAGCTGTTTGCTCTCTGGGCTGCAGCCTCGGGAGGTTTGGATTTAGCTTATCATCTGAGATCAGAATCGCTGCTCTTAAAATGTCAGCAGTGAGCTATGGAGCAAGAAGAGGGGAAAAAAATAGTCTTGCCCAAAATTCAGGCTATGCTAGTAAATGTCAGGCATTTGCACAGAAGAAAGTCTCAGGGCTGGGAGGTTTGCTGACGGGTGGGCTTTCGGTGAAGGCGTCTCAGTTCTCCCCTAGGTCCCTGTCATCTTGTACCACTGACAGCAAGGCCTCCTGCTGAGGCACAGCTCCTGGGGGCTGCCACAGCCTCGCCTGGCTGGGAGCACTGCCCTCCTCTGCCCTTCTGGCTGCTGCCAGCAGAACCAGAGGGGCAGGCAGAGCCATGCCAGGTACTGGGTCTGCCCTGAAGGGCTGTAGTCACCAGCAGCTCTGGGAAGCACATCCACCTTGCCAGTGCAGGTGAGAAAAATCAGGGGTGGATGTCGCCAGTGGCTCAGAGGCCACCACACAGGGAACCTTCATTTGAGGGGGAGAGTTTACATAAATCACAGGAGAGAAAAGGAGGAGTGAGGGCAGAGATCTCCAAAGCCTCTCTTGGTCCGAGGGCATGGCAGGACAGGCTTGGCTGACTGCAGTGCCAGGCTTGTTGATTGAAGCAGAGCTCTGCCAGGCTCCTCAGCACTGAGGTCCTGCTCATCAGGACAGACGTCCAGATGCCAAAAAGAAAGAGCTTTTCTTTTCCAGACAGTGATTGCAGCTGCCTTTGCAGGGGACGGAGCCCCGTTTGCCCCAGGCACTTCCAGCACATACAGAGAAGCTGAGGACAGCACGGCCCCTTTGGCACACGGCTCTGGTTTGGTGCCTCCCGGTGCTGCCGGGGCCGTGGCGCAGCAGCAGACGTCCCTGCCAGACCCCCAGCTGCTTGCCACTCGCAGGGAACATCCCAGGGAGAGCTGAAGGAGGGCCCCGAGCCTGTTTTCAAGTGCGAGACAGAGAGCTGGCTAGAAAGGAGCCAAGTGTTCTTGCAAAGGAAGCAATCCAAGGCAGGGGAAAGTGAATTGCATTAGGAATTAAGACCGGAGATGCTGGAAATATTGATTGTCCAAGCAGTGGTACAGTCCTAGCTTCTGGCATGTTTAACATCTGAACACTCCCAATCTCACTGCAGATGCAGCAGGGCTCTGCTGCGTGCCTAGGTCAGGGAAAACTGAAAGAAATGTCTTCTATTGAAGTGCAGGCACCTCCAGAAGAGGATCTGGGCTGCCTAGTACTTGGCACAGAAATAGGTAACCAGCCTGGTGTCTGGTACGGCAGGTCTGGAAGGGAGCCTGCTGACATCCTCAGTCCCACCTGCCTGCACAGTGCAAAGTGTTGGGCTCAGAGCATCCAGGTCTTGTGATCTGTCTCATCACACTGAAATGGGGACAAGTGCAGAGACAGGTAGTGATTTATCAGAAAATCCTCAGGGAAAAGCAACTGGGTGGAAGCCTACTTTCCTGCAAACCAGAACATTTCTTGCCCACAGCATTTAGCACAAAGGCAATGCCTGCACACAGAGGCCAGGAACTAGAGGGCTGTAATTTGCCTTTGCCATCTCTGGGCCACTGGAGTTGAGTGAATGTTTCATACATTCTTTACGGTCTCGAACAGTGAGCCAGGATTTCCAGGACATCTGCTGCAGGCAGGGATTTGGGCAAAGAGAAGAAGAGAGAAGCTCTTGTCTGCAGAGCCTGGGGCCAGATCTTGGGTTGAGGTTTGAGTGAACCTGGGCCATTTGGGTGGGACCCACTGAAGCTCGCAGGCTGTGTGTGGTTTGGACTCAAATCTTGGCAGAACTAAGCTTCGGCCTTGACGAGGCTAGTTGGTGAGGGCTGGTCGGTGAGGGAAAGCCATGGCTGTTGTTCCAAGCTCTCTCCTCCTCCTGCTTCTGCTCTGGTTGCAGATCTCAGCTCTTCCCAGGCCCAAACTGTCATTGTCGGGGATGTGGGGTTGCTCTCAGTTCTCAAAGAGACAGGGGCTCCTTCCCAGCCCCTAGAGAAGGAAGAATTTCCCTCCACTCATTCTATACCAAGGCAGACAACCTGGGCTTCTGGCTGAGATGGGATTTAGTCAGAAGGGTGGAGCATGGTGTGGCCTTGAAAACAAAATCCCAAAGCTGCAGCACCAGGGTCCCATCAGAACTGGCAGGTCATCTGGCGAAGGATGTTCACAGGCAGGATGTGTGAAGATGTGCACATCGTCTTGGCTCTGGACAGGCTGACGGGATGTTTTTCTTGTAGGCTGAGAGCAACAAAGAGGATTAATCTCTGGAAAAAAGGAAAAAAGGGGGCACTATGTTGAAGTGGGTTTTCATCAGCCTTGTGCTATTGTGTGTGTATCTCGGGTTTACTAATGATTCGAATGAAAAGTAATCAGGAGAAGTGCTCGGAGAAGGAGATTTTCCTGTATTTACTTTGGATGCGTGTCCACTGGAAAAACATCTTCCAAAGCATTTTGCTTGGCGACGGGGGCTGTTTCATTTGGAGAACAATTGATGGTGATGATGAGTGGTATTAGATGTGATCGCTGTTCGACAGCTTTTTGACTTGCCTGCAAGTCAAAGCAGCAAATTCCTTGTGACTGCGCACGTGTGCGAGGAGAGGCGGGGGCGGTGGTGGCCTCAGACAAGCCAGCGACGTGTTCGATCGTTGCCAGCCTCAAACCAGGCAAGGTGCAGGTTGTTAGTGCACCGCCTGGCCTTGCAGCAGTGTCTTGCTGTGCAAACCCGTATTTACTGTGAGCTCCACCTTTCCATGAGCTACCACTGGACAAGCACTGCCCTGCTGTTAGCGTACCGCAGAGGTAGGTTCAACGTGTTAGTGGAGAGTTTGCCAGCAGCACTGTGCGTGGTGTGTTATGTATTTACAGGAACAGACTGCTCCCGGAGACTTTCTGTTCCCCAAATCTAATGGGGTGTATCCGTGGCTGATGCTGCCCTGACACCCTCTTCAACCCTTCCCAGAACAGCTGTACCACCTGGAGCCCTGCCCATCCCTCCCTGCACTGGCCACTGGCAGCTCCTAGCAGAGTGGCCATGGAGGAGGGTTAAATCAGTGAATACCATTTGTTTGTCTTCCTTTCTGAAAAAGGAACAGACATCTGCCACATCCATTCCCTCCCTTGCTGAAGCTTTCTCCAAGCACTAGCCTGTGGTCTCAGTGGCACAAGGAATAAATCCAGTGCAACTTTGCTGAAGTCTTCAGAATTGCTCCCAGGGTAACAGAGAGCGGAGCAGGGGCCCCGAGAGTTTCCTAAGCTTCACAGCCATAGCCACAAGGCAAATAAAATGAGATTAACCAATTACAATTAAAATGAGAGAGAACTGCTTTTGACAGTAATTTTGAATTTCCCCTAAAAGCAGTTCCAGCTGTGACCTCTGACTCGTGCAGTGCTCGCCTGAGATCTGCCCCTGGTTGTTTGTTATAAGTGGTGCTTTCAAGGACGTTCAGTCCTGCCTAACAAGAGGTTTCCTAGGCAAAAAAAAATATATAAAAATTAAAAAAAAAAAAAAAAAGTGAAAAATGGAAGAGGAACTAACACAGGGCATCCCTGCAGTGAGGCACAGACCTGAGAGCCTTTCTGGCAAGCAGATGAGAAAGGCCAGGCAATCTCCAGCGGATTAGGTAGGTCAGTGCTTGTAGCAAGTTCCCCCTGCCCAGCAGGGCTGTATTACTGTCATGCAGCTGTGAGCTCCATCCCGGCAATCCCCTCATTCGTCTTGGTGTTGAACACATCTCTCTTCCCACAGAGAAGCTGGCTCGGCACAGACTTTGCCTTCACTTTGGGAAGAGAGCAAGGCTGTGTCTGCAGGATTGGAGTAACTGTCCTTATTCTTACCTAGAGCTTTGGAGAGATGTGTTTGCTATGTGGCAGTGCCACACAACCAGCTTTCATCATGATAGCACCTGGTCCTTGCAGGCTACTTAGTTCCTTAAAACCAGTGGGTGGTTTCGACTCATTCTTTGGCCTGTGCTACTGTCCTCCAGCAGAATTTATCAGTGTACTATTAAAAAACAGCCCTAGAGGAAGAGATTTTGCAAGACTAGTGGGGGACAAATAGTATCATTGGGAGTGGATTTTCACCCAAATCTTATCAGCAACCAATCAGAAGACTGCAATTTTCTCTCCGCCAAGGTGCTGCTGCCTCTTCCCATGGGGAACACAGAACTTCCCTTTGGACAGGAGCAGTAGTTCCTGCAAATCCTCTTCTCATTTCAAAACAACTGCACCAGCAGCATTCACAAAACTCAAGGCTCAGCTCTCTGGGAAGGGTCTCTGTTGCCTGTAGGAAATCAGAGTTGGGACTGGGGATTTTGTCAGGAGATGCCTGCAGGTTTCTGCATGGGCTGTGAAGTGGATAGCCTCTGTGTGCCTGCAGACACGTTCACTGGCTGTGTGAGCCACCTGCACGCTGTGTTTCTGCTGTTGTAGCGTTTCCATGTTCAGACCTGGAGGTGACACACTTGAACCTTCCCCATCTTGCTGCACAGGCAGATTAATTGCCCGTGCTGCAGAGACAGGGCTGTGAGAACGGTGACTTGAGCCAGTGATTAGGAGGGTGAAAATATACATAAAGTTGCTATTTTTAATCTTCAGACACAGAAGGTGAGAGGGAGAATAGACAGAGATAAAGAGAAAGGTGCATTGCCTGAGTCAGACAATGTAGTGACTTATTTATTCTGTGATGTGCTGGATTTGAAAGCCTTCCAGGTGCTGTAGCACTCTACTGTTGAGGTCAGTACCACAGTCACCCTTCTTTGTAATTTCCTTTGTCATTAGTGATTTTTAAGGAATGCATTATGCTATAGAGATGAGGTCTGAAAGCAATTTTGAAGACAGTAATGCTGTTTGCTATCTCCACACCAGTTATATTTATTTAATTGGAATGATTCAACTTGTATTCAGTGTTGTCACACCTGGGTGACTTTCAGATCTGTTTTGTGTAAATCAGTCTGCCCATACTTGGCACGATCTTATGTCTTTGCATCTGCAAACACCATTGTTTGATTTATGAAGTACCTGGCTTTGCATATGAATTGCTACAGTCCAGTCCCTAAAAACTTCCCATGATGTACATTTCCATAGGTAGCTTGTCTGAGCATTTTCTATTTATGTGGCTTTTCCTACAGTCTTGTCTTAAACTTCCTTGCTATAAATTAAACTGATTTCTTCGTGCCCTTCCGGAATTCTGGACAGCAGTCGCTGTCCCCTTTGCAAATATTGGAAAACCATTATCATGTTCCACTCATTCTTCTCTCTTCTAGACTAAACAAAGTCACTTCCTTCCACCTTTCCATACAGGTCATGTTTTCAAAACCTTTTTATCGTTCATTTCATTCTCTGCGCACGCTCCACTGAGTCTATTATCTTCCTTGAAATGCGCCGCCCCAAACTGGACCTAGCTTTCACACTGTATGGATCAAGTCTCCCACTACAGAGCAAATCTTGTCTGAGCTCTTATCAGCTTCATTACATCCTGTTTGGAGTTGTGGTCTGTGATACCCAGACAGAGCATTCCCTAAATGATTTGCTTTTTCAGCTATGTTCCATTTGGAGATATTCAAGCCAAATCTTAGGGCACCATCAGATGTGCTCCTCCTCAGTTCAGAGTCCCTCTGCTGTGTCTCAGAAGGGGTTGTGCAGGTGTTCTTAGTTTAGTTTTCACAAAGCAGATCAGCATGGCTGAAACCAAACCTGTAAAGGATATGCTTCTTCTTTTCTCTGCCTGAAATCTCCCCATTTGTGGAAAAAAAAAATAAAAGGAGGGAAAAATATGTCCTGGACAAACTAAACAGCCCCATACCCGCCTCATAAGATCCTACAGCCCTTCAAAATATTTGCTTAATCTCCCAATATCTTGGCAGGGTGCGTAGGTATTAGCGCATGCAGGTGTTCTTATCCATTGATCTCAAAATATTCTCCTCCTTGTTTTAGACATGGGGATACTGAAGTGTTTGGAGGCTCGGTTTTCATAGGCAACAAAGATCCCTTGCCCCATTTAAAGTCAGTGGAAAATGTGGGTTGCAAGCCAACTGGAGAGCTGAGCTTGAAGTGACTTGCTGAGGTCCCACTGAGAGTTAATACCACGGCCAGGAGCTGGAGCCCAGGTTTCCTGAGTCTGTCCAGAGTCCAATGAGCAGGACCAGGCTGCCTTCCACTCCACCCTGTAAACACAACTACCCCAGCCACGCAGTCAAACCCATGATTTAACGCCCGAAGTAAAATCCACCCGGTCACGGTAGGTGTCACAGCATTCTGGAGAAGAGCTGGGTTGATCACGGCTTGCTCACTAACTTGAAATCTTCTTGTTCATCTAGTATTTGGTTGCAAGTTGCATAGCTGAAAAGCCTGTTAAAGAAAACAAATAGCACCTGTGCCAGGCCCTGCCATGTTCCAGCAGTAAAAGATATTAATAGTTTCCAGGTCTGTATTTTGTATGTTGGCGTGCCAAAGCTCACCTGCTCTGTGTGAAAGGGGAGGCTGCTCACTGCTGGTCTCTGAACAAAAAGCTGGTCTGTCGAAGACGAATCTGGGGGAATTTTTTAAATTCCAAAAATAGACAGGAGGGGAAAAATGTGCCAGTAAGATGGATCTCATTTCATTTCCCAAATCCCTCTGGTCTCCAGAGTTCATTCTTTGCTCTTAATGTTTCATGCTATGGCTTATTTTAGTCTCCTTAGTGGAAAGTTTAAAACATTTACTTAAAGGCAACGCTTCAGCTGGCATAAACTGTCACAGTTCTCTTGGCTTCAGTTGCCTTCAGCAGAGGAGCTGCCCTTTAGCATTTAAATTGCTTGTTAGAAAGTGGAAAAGTAAGTCACTTGAAATCATCCTCAAAAACTAAAGAGAATGGAGAATGAAGGAAGGGCTCACAGTGTGGATCTCAGGTGAGAAGCAGTCTTTCCACAGGGACAGGTGCAAATACAGAGCACGTACAGCACACATCGCTACTCTTCAGATCCCCCTCCAGAGCAGCTGCCATCACCCCCCATGCCAGCACCCCCGAGGGGCCGTGGTGCCAGATCTGCCGGGCAGAAGGAACGGAGGCTGCAGGCATTTCTTGTAGGACAGCGCAGGTTGCTGAGCACCAGGTGAGCCAGCCCTGAAGCCAGGTAAATTGGCCGTGTCCAAGTGGCGCTCGTTGTGCCAGGGAGATGTGTGCAGAAGCACCGAGGGTGCTGTAGTAAACATTTGCCAAATTGTTGATTAATTAGCAGGGGGGATTGTGACTCAGAACACATTAACCCACTTGCTGTAGCCTCTAGCCAGCCTGGGAAGTTGCCATTTCAGCTCTTCTTTTTGTTCAACATATCCTGAAGGGGAAAAAAAAAATGCAACCGTGCGTTATGCTTTCCTTTACTGTCCAGTTTAACAACAACATCCATCTGGGCTTACAACATTTATGATGCTGGGCTCCTGCACTGGTCTCTCTGTCTGGTACATCCTGACATAAACTGAACAGTCACAACCCTGACCTCACTGGTTCCCTGGTAAATCACATCAGCAAGGCTATTCCAGACTGACACCAGCCTGACTAAGGCCAGAGCAGACTGCCAAAGCCCAAAGGATGGGAATGGTTATTTTGCCTGCATCCTGGCTGGGTTTGTGTCTCCCTAAGAATGTGTACACTTCCCTTCGCTTTTGCAATGGCACCAGGGTGTTGACGAACTGCAGTGCTGCTATTTATCCCTTAATTACTCCCATGACTCACATTAGAGTAACAATTTTCCATAGAAACAAACACAAGCAGAGCTGACACCACTCAAGCTGCCTTTATTTTGAAACATGTTCTCTACTTCGGGTTTTGAGGGTGGCGACTCAGGAGGCTGCTTCGCGCTCCTGGTGTTAAGGTTTGCCAGTCAGAGAAGTGAGATCCACTGGGTGCTCACTCCAGGCTGGGGAGGAAGAGTTACAGCTGCTGGACTGCGCTGTGTGAGGCTGAGCATCACTCAGCACACTGATTTGGGAGGGGTGGATGCTGAGCATGGCTCAGGACAAGGCAGTTCCTGCCCCCAGTGGTCCCAGGGTGTTCGTAGGACATGTTCATCCACTAGTGCTCTTGCCAGGGTGCTCTCTCTTTTTTATTTCCCCTTGAGCAGCTCTACCTGGGCTGCTGCATTGTGTTCTTACATGTCTTGAGAAATTCAAGCAGGGAGAGCAACACAAGTGCCATCCCTGGATGTTATCTGTGGATATTCACCCAGTTCTGTGTGTCGTGTTAATTACAGGTGCCACCGGTGGGTGGGATCGGCACTGGCTGAGTCACTTCTTTAACTAATGAAATAATTAGCTGGCAGGTCTCAACCACATCCTTAGGGCCAGCCTGGCATCTATTCTTACGTGGTCTTATATGGACTTGAAATCCTCTGAAGCTATTTCCCTGTGCTTGATGCTTGTAAACCAGTATGTATATGGGAGACAGGATGGTCCAGAGGGGTTCCTTTATTTTAAAAACTACCGTGCCTGCCTTGCCTGGGCATTAGGCTTGTCAGAAGTCAGCCTAGTTTTGTTCTTTTGTGCAGCCAAGAGAAACAAGGCAGAGCCGGAGCTGTCTGTCTGATTTCTCTACTTCCAGCTGCCATCATTTATAGCAATTAGGTGTCCCTGGTGACGGTGTCCCAGCTCCTCCCCACCCTGTGGGGCAGGACCAGAGATGTGCACGTCTTTCCTCAGAGCTGTAAATCTACCCTGAAATCATACAACAGAGGGAGCCTTTCCTGGGGCTTTGCCACAGGCACTGCGCCCCCAGCAATGCGATTACATCCAGTTTTCAGGCCATGGCCCAGCTTCCCTGCACCCTGGCGGGTGGGAAAATGGCCATGTGCTCTGTCTTCCCAAGGCAGAGGACTGCAATATAGATGTAGATATGGGGGTGCTCAGAGCACTCAGCCAGGAACCAGGGCTGCATCACAGAAAGTGCTACACGCAGCCGTGTAAAACAGACCTGCTCCAAAGTGCTCGTAGCATCGTGGAAAAGACAAAAGCAAGCAGGTGGGTGCAGGAGGAGGGATGTGTGAGCACGGGGACATAAGAGTAACAGCACCCAGGGCCAGGAGGCTGCCGGAGGTGCCAGCTTTTCCTTGCCCTGGGTTTTGCTTTGCACCCTGCAAAAAGCAGGGCATGGCTGAGCTGAGGGAGCAGAGCCCTGGAAAGCACAAGAGAGGCTGACTCCAGACAGGCAACCTGATGCTTTTGCCATTGCGTGCTTTAGGAAATTGTACGGTTTGATGCAGAGTCTGTTAGAGTTGGCTGGCAACTTGCTTACACTTTGTCTGTGCAGATAAAGTTGCCTCGGCAATTCTGCTTCTGTGCTCCCCCTACACACACCCCTTAACTTTGCGAAGTGTGGTTTTTAAAAAATATGTCAAAAATGCAACGTTGGCTGCGCAGCCTCTCCAGGAAATGCCTATAGAAACTGTCTGCGCAGGAAATATCTACAAAGGGAAGGGGGGAGGGAGATGAAGGCGCAGACCTGGATTCATCTCTGTGGACCGGGAACCCATGTGCAGCTTCTCCTCTTGCACTTCCTCAGGGCTGTTGGCTGTCTCTTCTTTTTGCTTCCGAGGCCCCACACATTACAAATGGTTTTCACGATGGTTTGTCAGCCTCCCACCATGCCGGAGTCCCGCTAAGCCTCTTCTCCTCTGAAGAAGAAACTTGGAGCCATGACTGAAGCCAGATTTTCAAACAGGGCCAGAGCTCAATAAACCACTGGGCTTTTCTCAGAGGAAAGCCCTTTGCTTTTTTCCTTTTTTCTTCCCTGCGCCTTGGAGTTGAACTAGGACTGAACCAGTAGTACAAACATCAGGCTGAATATCTCTTCCTTAGAGGACTTTTTTTCTTTGTCTGCCTCCTGTATTGCTTCAAGGTGCCAATAACCAACGTGTGTGCTTGTGGAACTGTCTCCCTCCCTCAGGACCAAGGGAGCCCCCTTACATGGGGATTTCAACCCCATTTACAGAAAGGACCGGGAAGGAGAGAACCAGAAACAAGCCTTCCCTGGCAGAGGGATGGAGTAACCAGCCAGTTTTTCCAGCAGCTGGGGCTGTGTTTAGGCAGTGTGAGCCCCTGGGCCTGAACACCTGAAGCTCCCAGGCATGAGGCCAGGATTTTCATTTCACCTTACACAAGGGTGTTTTGGGCCTTTTGGGGAGGCAGAGTAAAGCATGTCAGGTCACTGAACATAAAAAGAGCTGTCTGTGTGACCAGGAAGTGGGACTTGCTCCTTGTCCCTTTCCGTGGTCCCTTTTCAATTAACTTTGAGTGGTGGTGTCTGAGGAGGACCCACCAGGGAGGGACAGGACAGGAGCAGAAGCCAGGTAGGGCCATGGTGACCATCACCCCCTTTCTGTCCCACACATGGACTTGTGTTAATCCAGGGACAAGCCCCTGTTTGTCACAGCAGTGTCATGGAGGCCATTCCCACAGGGATCCATGCAGGTACAGCAGGATCAGTGCAGCAAGAAGGGACAATGAGAAGCAAAGGAACTAAAATAAAATTAGAAAATAAAAAATAAAACAATATCTCCTGCATGAAAATGTTCACAAGTCCCATGCCCTGTTGCAAGGTTGCTGCCTTGACTCACCTCACACATTTGCCAGCAACAGGTTCTGCTTTCAACAAGTGTCTTCGACTCTGTGAAGGCAGAGAGATGAGACTCTCTTGTTCCTTCTCCTACTCCAGACTTAGCAGAGGACGTAATGTGTCTGAGATGTGAACCACAAATCATGGGATCTTCACGCCTCCCCTTGACCTGGGCTATTTAGTTTGAACAAAGTCAAAGCAGCCTCCCTAGCACCAGGAGGTGGCTCTGCCAAACGCCCCCATCTTCCCAGATAGACCAAATAACAGCTGCCCAAATTCTCTTCTCCCTGGAGGTCAGTGTGGGGTGACAGCAGCCAGTGGTTGTGTTTTCGCATGGAGGGGCTCCAAGCCTGGTCCAGAAAAAGAGCTTAATTGCCTCTTGCGTTTCTCCTGAATCAGGGACATCTCTGGAGTCCAGCAGCTTCAAAGACACGTCCCCTGCACTCTATCATAACAGCATTTAGAAAGCAGCTTGAATTTCTTCCAGCTGGCTTCGTGTTACAGAGATCCCTATCAGCACCCGGGAGGAAAGAATTAGCAAGGAAAACAAGCGTCTCTTAAACTTCAGAGAGGAAAAAAAAATGCTAAGAAAATGGCCATGTAAAAAGCATAAATTTAGTCCAATGATGCCCGATGTGTTCATTTCCTAGGTTGTTTGAGGTAGAAAGCAGCCTAACGACTGGATTTTCTTGTGTCAGCCAGAGACTTTGAACGCTAATAGCAGGGTTTTATCAAAGCCAGATGCACTTGCACAGGTACTGTCTCTACAGCCTCCCTCCTGGCCACTGGAAATGAGCAGGGCCCACCTTGTTGAGCATTAACACCTGTGGAATCCACGTGCCTGGGGACGCAGGGAGTCACCAGAGCAGACAAGCCAACACACTTGGAGTTTCAAAGGCGCCTGCTTGGCTCTTCTTGCCAAATTCCTTTCTAGCCCCTGCAAGGACTTCTCGTGGCTTCTCCCTCTTGTCAAGAGATCGAGCAGTCAGGCTCAGGGTAAGCGGTGGGAAAGCCTGGAGCAGGCAGCTCCCGGAGTAGCAGAGAACTTCCCACACCCAAGGTGCTCCCCAGCTCCCAGCCGGTCGGTTCTGTTGTGGTTATTGCAGAGCCGCCTCCTCCTGTGCAGCTGTCCCACACCCCAGCCTGAGCCCTGCAGCCATCCTCGGCGGCTTCCCTTTGGTACACAGACGGACTTGCTGACATGTGAACAAATCCTTTTAAAGAACAGATACCCTCCGTTTCAAAGAGCAAAGTCCTGCGGGCAGCCGGGGAAAACTGGCACGGGGCACGGACTGAATTTGGTTTTGCTTTGCACTCCCTGCGGTTCTTCACACGAAGGGAGGAGAACCGCGTGGCGTGAGCTGGGGCTCGGGGAACAGACTTTGGTGCCTTTGCATGTCAGAAACCATTTCCGTTAGCCAGCCTCACAAGCACTGTCTCTGTTTCTGTATGTGGGATCCCCCAGTGCTATTTTTCTGCTTTTCCTGATACTTTCTCTTCCCCTTTCAGGCTGCTGATGAGCCCAGCCTCTCAGTGTCTCTCTTCAAAGGAGGGCATTATGTTATGCCACCACTTCTCATGCTGTTCTTTTCTCCAGCAAGTTTCCATTATGACTGGAAAAAAAAAATCTGGCAGCCATCACCTCTGCTCTTTAATGACCTATGGTTGATTATTGAGATATTACTCACAGTTTAATTGTCTTCTCATGCTCTATCTAAATGAAAAGATGGATAGATACATAGACGGATATAAAGGTGAAGAGAGAGAAAGAGAGAGAAGGAGTCATTTGTGGTGATTAATGGCCCAAGCAGAGGCAGAAAGGGTGAGAAATTGCATTGAGCAGCAGCAGTTTACACCTTCCAAGATACTGACTTGCTCTAAAACATTTCTAATTACCAGAAATCAATGTATTGTCTGCTTGGCTTTAGTGTGCAGCTAAGGGAAAATTCACAAGATGCAATTAAAGCAAAGCTTACAGCTTGATGTTTCAGCTTCCAAGAGTCAAAAAAGTGAGTTTGAGCATATGTAACTTCAGAGACAGACCTAATTTTCCCCTCTTGCTGAGAAGATTCACATAGCAACAGTGAATGGGGCTTTCTTCAATTTGCTTTATCCTGTGTGTATTTAAGATAACCCTTTTTTTCCAGAATTTCATTTAGCTACTCATACTACAAACACAAGGACAGATGGTCACCAGATCAAACTTAATCAGCATTCTGTACGCTGGATTTCAAGCTTAGAAATTCATCTGGTTCTAGTAAAACACAGTCTGAAACCTGCCCGATGTTTAACTCAGCCACAGAATTGTATTACATTTCTAAGCCTTCCCGATCCTTACAGGAGATTGAGAAGGGAGCCATCAGGCATCTTTAAAAAGGGCTTGATTAGGAGTTTAATTATCAGCTATCAAAATCTGTTCTGTTGCTGGTGTCTCACTGAAGAGCAGCATTTTTAAAAGGGGTCTGCAGTTCTGTGTGTTTCTTCTTGGAATTCACCAGGGCTATGTGTAACCCTGGAGTAAGAGGATGCAGTTTCATGTACATCCCCTTACACCTTGCGGAATTCAGGGTCTGACCTCAGCAGTGTGCCCTCTGTCAAGGCAATTTGAACCATTTTCCCATGGCTTCTTCTCATTCCTGTTCTCATCAGACTTTCCTTTTCTGCCTCTCGTTGCTGGTGGTAGGGCAGCAGGGCTGAACTGCTCCCATGTGCCCCCATCCCAAGGAGGTTTCCACAGGTTTCACTCTGTGTCCTTAAATCCTCTGTCCTTCAAGCTGGCGTGCCCAGCTTCTTGCCCTCTTCAGAAACACGCAGCTATTTCATCCCTCCTGCCACAGCCTGTTGGAGATGTGTGTACCACTGCATCGAACTCTGCTGCCTTTATTTGCATAACTGTGGCATGGGGCTGACTGGCTAGAAACCAAAAACCACTCCAAATGGCACAGAGGCGACAGCCATCTGTGTCTTTTTCACATTCGGTTTCATTGTTTTAGGATCAAATCCAACCGCTGCAACCTACAGTAACTCTACACTTCTCGAGGCTCCGAGCTTTCCATATAGCACGATCTGTGGTTTCGCTGTGGAGAAGCAAACCTGGAAAAAAACTTGTTGGACTGGATCAGAAGTATTTTAGTTAGTGCAGCAGGAGCTGCCAGTGGTGAAAATAGCAGCCCTGGAGCATGAATGAACAGAGCGGTGTTTCCTTCTGTGTGCGTTAGACAATTTAAGCCTAACTCAGCATTATGGTTGTGCTGGACAGTGTGCTCTTGAGGTGTGTTTCCATTACCACGTAATAAATATAAATGTTTTTATGAGATACCCATGGATGGAAGGAATCTGAGGTTTGCTAAAGGTTAGTTTGATGATGTATATTCAAAGCCCTCCCGTTTGGCATTAATTAGTACAACGTAGTGTTTTGCAATTTCCCAGCACGGACACATCCAGATTGCTGCTAGGAATTGGAAGTGGCATCACCCACTCCACCCAGGCAGACAGCACTGAGACAATCCCTCCCTTGGATGAAGCTCGTGTATCCCTCACAGCCCCATGGCAAGGGGCATGCATGGGATTGCATGCACTCCATACTGAGAAAACAGCTTGTGTAGGAGCTACTAGGGGGGCTAGAGTCTGCCCTTGCTAACAGCCAAGAGAGAAGGGGATATTTGCACTTTTCCTGCCTGTTTTGTCCTTGCTAGAACATCCAGGTGTAGGAAAATCACCTGCTGCCAGCCCCAAAGCTGCAGAGAGAATTTAATGCTGTGCTAACCAAACTGCCAGGTGATGAAAACTTTTGACTCATGTGTTTCAATGGTATTGCATGGACCCTGTGATAAGGAAAGTACCAAATTTCATTCATATTCTCCTGCTCAGACATCCCACCGTGGTCAGGCTGACCCATCTGTTCCTTGCACTGCCCTGAGGGTGCTTCTGCCACTGACTTTGGGGCACTGTTGTTTTGTGTTCTCGGTGCAAAGGTTCTCGTTTGGTTTTTGCTCATTGCTGGTTACATCTCGCCTTGTACATGGGACCATTGGCCTCAGTGTTCTAGTGCTGGAGATGTTTCTTCTGTGCTAATTGCATTTACACATTCAATTACCCAGTAGCCATCAACTCGAGCAGCCCATATGGCGTGAAGGAGGCCCTTCCCAGTGAGTGAGGAATGCTTGGGACAGCGTGGAGCACAGGTGAGGCACAGAAATGGCCCCAAAGCCAGCCCCTCGGAGTGCCCATTGCACAGCCACCTTGGAGCCCGTGACCACCATCCCCATCCCCACAGCATCACAACCCCACTGTGTGCTCAGCCCTTCCCAGCACCATGGTTTCTGCCCGCTCTCTGCAGTGCCATGGCAGGCTTCTCTGTACCACTTAATTGTCTTTTTATGCCTCCAGCCTCCCTCCAGATAAATTTATTATTTTTTTTTAACTCCGAAATACATTTGTAGCAAATAGATGCCAGCAGCTCCCAGTGCCAAGAAGATGCGGTGCTCCTTCTGCTTGCTCTGTTTTCCAGTGAACCGTATCATTTTGTGCTTGTTTCTCTGTGACCTTTGGAGCCCATTCAAAGTCATCTGCCTTTTGCTTTGATTTAATTTCAATCCAGCGCATGTTGCCAGCTGATTTGCTGCCTGTTTTTACACATTGCCAGCAAATCACCACCTCTTCATATTGTTCAGACAGTCATCAAATCTAGGCCTGCCAGCTCTTTTTGTTAATGGACTAGGAAGGCTTGGTACATCTAGCTGATGTGACCAGAACGGGACCAGAAAGCTGCTTAACCCCAGCTAGCAAATCTTTAAAGCACAATGTGGGACTTTTATGGCCAGAGCAGGGTCAGGCTTCACTGGGCAAAGCTTTTCAGCTGCTTGGTGTGGACCCAAAGTCTGCCTGTAAGTCTCCTGTACATCGCTTTTCTGCTGTGATTTAAAGAAGATGATTTAAGGACACGTGGTTACTGGTTAGATAGGATTGTGTCGGTTTTACAGAGCACAGTGAGTGCAGTGTTTGTCATACGTGGCCCACACCTCCTGCGCTTTCTGCTGAGATTTCACTTGTGTTCTTCCTCCTTTTGTTGGTTCTCTTCCCATAAATCACCAGAGTTAAAACACATCAGTGTTCCGCATGAGGTGGGGAAAGCCAGTAGCAACCCTTATACAAAAAGTTACCCACTTAGAAAACACGAGTGTAAACAAAAACAGTCTTTTTGAGTTCTTCTCACCAGAGGCATGCCCTACAAACACAAACAGGGCTGGCCTGAAAAGGGAGAGCAGGAGCAGCGTATTTACAGGCAGAGACACTGAGGTCAGTGCCATGACACCTTGCCCTGCAGATGTCCCTGCCCTTGCTCACCAGATCAGCCCCTGATGGGACAGGGGCAGTTTGTGGGCTGTTTGCCACATGGGGGTCTTTGTGGTCCTGCATTCATGCCTGGCTCAGGGCTGTGGGCCACGTGCAGGAGGGATGTTCCTTCCAAGAGGGCTGAGCTGCTCTGGGCACCTGGGAGCCCCAGTACCTCTCACCCCAGCAGTTCACTGCCCCAGAACTGCAGGGACCTGCCTTAGCTGGGACCTGCCTTAGCAGCCGTGGGGCTGTGGGCTGCAACCCCAGCTCGTCCAGCACTTCCTGGCATGCACAGCTGAATACTGGGGAACTTTAATGTTCCTCCAGGCCGACAGAGCAGCCAGCAGGCTGCAGAGGTCAGGGGTTAGTCCTGGCTTGGCTTTGATACAGTCTTTTGAGCTGTCTGAATCTCAGGCGCTCCGTGTGCACAGTTACAGATCTGATCCCGATGGAAGCTCGTTTGGTTGCACAGCCATGTAACAGCGAGCTCAGTAACAGAGCATTTGCCAAGGTTTTGCATTTTGCACTCAGATCTGCACTGCTACCAGCATCCACGCTGCCAAGTCCGCCCACAGTCCTCCTGCCACCCACGGAGTCAGGCGCAGCGACACGAAGCCCGGTAATGCCTCACCTGGGGGCTACGAGCCCGAGGGGATGGCCACTAACATGGCCCAGGGAGCCCAGCACAGCCAGCCTGCCTTGTTCACAGCCTGCTGCAGGCACAGCTCAAACTTCTCATGAAAGGCTAAATAAAAAGGCACCACCAGTGCCCTGGGGCTGAAATGCAGCCTGGGACGGGCCCATCTCTTGCTGTTCCAGTGCCCACATGTGGCCGAGCTCTGCATCTTTTCCTCTTTGCCTTCTTGCATCCAAGTGGAGGGCAAACTCTTTGCGAAGAAAGCAAGTGTCCTCTGGTGGCTGCAAGCAAAAAATGCATGTGGTGATACCCGGGCTAGGAACAGCATTGGAGTAGGAACGTTATGTGGAGTTTGCAACCTGACTTGTTTTAAAGATGGACAGTAATCCAGCTGTGAAATGGAGCTACAAGCCGGCTGCCTGCAGCACGCAGCGTGGACAAAGGAGGGGTGTCAGGGTGTCAGTGCCTTCAGGCTGGGAGTGCAGGGCAGGGAGCAGCCCTTCTCCCTGAGCAATTCCCCCCGGACATCCCTGATAAGACACAAGATGGGACAGGCTGGAAGGGGCAGGACAGGGACAAGAGATCGGAGGTGCCCAAGGCACAGGAGCAGAAGACCTCCCCACCAGCATGAAACCCATTTCGGGCAGTCCCTGCAGGAAGGATGTGAGAGCAGGGGCTGGAATCCAGCATGCGCTTGGGCTCTGCGTTTCTGAAATAATCCCTCAGAGATCAATGGGGTTTCACATCTCTCCCCATCTGTTCTTAATCTGGTCGCTTGACAGATGCCAAACCACCATACCCTGTATGGAAAAACACAAAACAAAATACAAAACCTTCTATCTCATGTAGTTTTGTTCAGAAACGTTCCCTGGAGCCCAGCTCTGTTTGCGCCCTGGCCGTGCGTGGAGGCCCCCGGAGGAACCTGCAGCAGGGGCAGATCTGCCACCAGCAGGGTTTCACAGCAAGGCCAGAAAAGGGGTGGTCGGAGCACAGCCTTGTGTCTGACGGAGCAGCTTTGTGTTCATGCAGTGATTCAAGCTGGTGATAATCTACTGCTGGCATCCCTCTAATGCCACGAAGCCTCTACCAACACCTCGGTCCTGTTGCTCCAGGTGCTGCAGGCTTGCACAGCCACTGACAGTCCCAGCCAGGCAGGAGGTGTGCGGAGAGAAGGCATCTGCCTCGCTAAAGGTCACAAATCAGTGGTAGGGCCGGATGGAAAATCAGTAGCCTGGACCCCCTAGGGGTTCGTGCCACTTGCTCACGCAGCCTTTTCTCCCAGCATTATCTCAGAGTTCATCCCTGCAAAATCTGCTGAGGACATGAGCAGCAGCGTTTTAATGGCATCCATGAATACTTTATTTAAGGCTGAGACTCAGCGACTGCAGCGCTGTCATTATCATTGGCTGGACCAAACCATCTCTGATAATAAATAATACAGGATTACTCCCAGCATCTAAAAATATCCTATCTTAAGCTGTTCCCATCCTCATCCTATCGATCAGAAGGGCTGAGTGTTTGCAACAGCTTATACAGTAAATGCAGTTTAACTTTCTTCTTACCAAATACTGCAAACTGGCTCTTTTCAGGACTGCTGCCATGTAATTTACAGCTATATCACTAACTCCTTAATACTTGCCAGGTTCTTTGGAGCCCTTTGAAACCAAACACAATAGAAAGATGTGAGCCAACACTGACCACACGTTTCATGTCTGCAGGTTCCTACGTGCCTTTTTGGTCTTTTCAGCAAGCAAGCTAATGGAAACAATTCTGTATCTTCAAGGCAGGATGATGAAGTTTCAGAGTTCCCCTGGCTAGTCACAAGAGAGAATTGATACAGCTCTACAGCAGCCAAATGCCCGTGCATCTCTGCATCTCAGGTTTACCATTAACCTCAGGTAAGAGGGAAGGGATGGAGAAATTTCCTCTTTGTATATAATTTACTTAATCCAAAACACAACCCCCCCCAGTCTGAAAACAGGTTTGAAAGAGTGACAGTTAAATGCCTGTGCACTTTGTCCATGACCCCCAAGAACGGAGTACTTACATGAGGTTTGGATGAGCAGAAAGGAAGGCTGAGGGAAAACGGCATTATCTTGGGCTGCTAACAACATCCCATACGGTGCTCTGTTCTGATACAGCTTCACACTAGCATGTTAATTTATGTTAATTTATGCTAAGATAATAAATGTATTGTGGTTTAATAATGATAATTTATGTTAATTGCTTAAATGTGTTAATATAAATAATTATTAACAGGATGTTAATGAAGGAAAACATCCTGTGCCTCCCCAGTTTAGTGAAGGTAGGGGTTGGGGTGAAGGAGTTTCTCCTGGCTCACCTGGCATGTTTTGCTAGTACCTCCCAACTCCCTGAAACATCAAGAGGAACATCAGCAAAGAGAAACACAATATTTTTTAAATGTCTTCACAGCAGCAATCATAATAAAAATACAAACCTGGGGTTTGTAAAAGTGTAGCAGTAAAACCACAGACATCTTTACAACTCCCAGACACTGCAGTGCTGCCCAGCAGCAAGCACAAAACCCTCCTGAATGCAAGGAACAAAACTATAACCATGGAACAGGCCTAATTGTCTTACTGCCTGGAAAACAAACAAACAAACAAACAAAAACTGCACATGACACCAATTTGCAGGTCATTACCATTCACCATCAGGATAGATGAAACAAAATCCCTTCATTTTTCCTCACCTGAAGACCACAGACGGGAGTTGTATGGAAGCAGGATGCTGCACCTCTTGGCTGGTTTAGGTTCCCAAAGCAAGCTCAGATCTTTGTGCTGTTTCCTGATCATTTAAACCCATTTTCTTTGCAAACCAGATTATAGGCATCTGTACTTCCCTAGCTAACAGTAAGCCTGTTTCGTTCATGGGAATAGAGATCATCTCTCTCAAAATGTGAGGCAAGCCCTCAGGCAATGTAGCTCAGCTTCCCAGTGTGCTCTGGCAGGTTATTTAATATTTCCATGCCTTGAATCTCCCATCTGCAAAAATGAATGCTGTATTCCTCCCACTCTTTGTCCAACAAGGCTTAAAGCTCTTCAAGGTGGCCATTGCTTATTAGGACGAGGCAAGGGGGAGCTGTGTCAGCAGCGGGCTGGTTGTGTGCAAGACAAGCCTGACCTTGGGCTGGCTGTGGGACTGCATGGAGCCAGTGGGTGATTCAGTGGGACACGAAGCAATCAGCAGGATTATAAAGCACAGAGTTTGGTTGCTGGAGGAGTTTCTAGACCCCCTGCAGTTGTTCGGGCTAGCACTTTTTGCTGTGCTTGGCTTTGTTCTCGGGTACAGCCAGGATCTGGAGTTGTCCACCTGCCTGCCTGCCTCGCTGGGGGAGGCATCAGCCTGCTGACCCCGGGACCTGCGGAGAGGATGGTACCGATTCAGCTATCGACAGCTTCAGTGACTCGTCTCTTCTTCTGCCATGGAAATGAACCCATGTGGTAGCAATGATGGGAAATTACTCAGAGAAAAGAAAAAAAAACTCAGCGTGAGCCAGGGCAAAAAGTCTAGAGTAAACACAGCCCCGGCCTAGCACCGTGCAGCTGTCAAGTCGCATTGCAGTAGGTTTCTTGATGCCGATGATTTAACGATTCTTTGGCCCAAGGGTACATCTCCCACTGCAAATCTGCTTCTCCAAAGCCGCTTTATCACTGACCTGAAAGGAAGCAATCATGGTCTGTGTGTAAATGTATGTGACGAGAGTTAATGCATGGTAATAGCTACAGCACATCTAGCGGGTTGGACAAAACGGAGAAGGTTCTCTGTCTGTATTTTGCTCCCTGAACATAGAGGTCACTGGCCTTTATCGTGATGATCTGTGATAGAAGCCAGTAGGCAGAGCCTGGGCACACACACATAAATCTGTCAGTGATTGCTTGTGCACTTAGAATAGATTTTATTTTATTTACTTAGTTGTTTTTGGAAAAGCCTTAGAAACAAAAATGCAGATGGCACAGTTCATCTTTTGCCCCAGGAAAAAAAAAAAAAAAAAAAAAAAAAAGTTTGGTCTTCTGTTACTTCCAAACTATTCACAATTTGTCCTTTGTCATTTGGGGATGGATTGTCTAAGCTCAGCTGCGTAGTTGAAGAGCTTTTTGAAAGCTGTTCTGGGCCCTAATCACACCATTTCTAATTGAAATGGGAACCCTTGCTCCCCAGGTCCCTGGGAAAGGCCTGTATAATTGAAAGGTGGGGACTGCTCTTGAGATTGTTAGGATTTGTACCATCACAGAATTCTGGCCAACATCCACCCCATGAATTATCGCTGAAAAATAACGGATTTTCTAAGTGTGTGCTTGGTAAAGTGCAGATAAGGGGCTGATCCAGCAAGGATCTGCTGCCTTCTCCCAGGCAGCAATTAGAGCAATGTTTTCCAATCAGGGAGCTGGTCAATTCACTTGCACATTTAATGGATGAGATAAGGGCAGCTTGCACTAAATTAGCTTTCTGGTGAATGTATGATAGATATCAAGGATGCGAAGCCCTTCTGGCCGCCCGCTGCTGCAGGGAGCTGCCTGCGTGTACTTCCAGAGCAAGGCCAGGCAGATCTATTTAGAGATGATGCTCTTGTACTAAAAACAAACAGGGATGCTCCTGAGCATCCCACTGTAGAGCAAAGGACTGCTTAAGGCAGCGATGCCCAGCGTGCTGCCTCTGGGAGCCGGCTGATGACCACGCTGTGCTCAGCACTGCTTCACCAACAGCGACCCACGCTGCAGCAATGTTGCAAAAAGGATCTCTTGTTGTGCCTCCCTCTGTGCTTGGCTCTCGGCAGCCTGCTCCCATCCTCCAACCCTGGATCAGGCACCTCCTGGATCCTGACCTGCTTTCTCCAGTTCTGTTCCTCAGTAGATGTCTGAGCCCCTGTTTCAGCCCCTGTCATCAGATGCTATTTGTTTTGCAGCAGGGGGCTTCGTCTCGCACCAGGAACCCCGCTGGCCTAAGTGTTGTGGAAACAAAGGTGAAACAACAATAACTAAAACCAGTCTCTGCCTTAAGGAGATGGCAGCACCTCCCTTATTTCTTTCAACTGCTGTAAATAAATCCTTGGTCATGGCACTGTTTTCCAGAGGACAATAAAAGGAACTGTTGTCACTCCCTGACACCAACTTTTCCTGCCATTCAGTAAGTCTTCTCCCCCTTCTCTTAATCTTCATTTTGTTAAAAATCAGATCTCATCTGATGACTGCTAATTATCTTAGAGGCTGTTGGTAAGATGCAGCAGAGGAACCGAAGGCAACACTCCAGCACAGGGCTGCAGGAGTAATGCTGGCCTGCCACAACTGGGGTATTTTCACTGATGCCATCCGAATAGGATGTCTGATGGCAGAGGTACTAAATGAGGACTAGTATAGACGTGTCTCATACATGCACTTATGTACATTTGGTTCTGATTTTTGGAGTCTTCCCTTTGGATTCGGGAGGGATCACATCACCCTTCAGATTTTAACATTTTGCTTGAATTTCATCCCAGCTGTTGTTCCTCGCTCTGCCGCAAGCTCTGGAAGAGGCTCTGCACAATTTTCTTCCCTCGTCCCGCTCCCAGCATCACCCTGCTGCCAAGAGGAGAGGACTCATGCAACCTGCAGGCTGCCTGCATGCAGGGGGTGGCAGCTGCTCCGGCACCATCTTCTTTCCACCGGGGTGAATGTGAAGCTAATCCCAGCTTCTCGTCTCAGCCACACTGATCTAGTTAACGGTAACGCCTTTGGCTTTAGGGAATGGAGGAGTCTGGATTTAGATCTGCATCACCAGAAGCAAAACGCGGCCAGCAGTGTGTGCTGGTGTCACAGATGCATGGCAAAGTGAAACAACATCCACAGGCAGCGTCCCAGGAGAGGTGACAAACCCCTTCTGCTTCCAGCCCTGCAGCCTGCTGCTGTCTCCTCTCCTTGAAATCTGTGCTCTTTAAAAAGCAAGTGACAGAAAGTAGAGGGGCACCTTAAAAAACAAATAGACAGCAATAGGGGGAAGATACACTGCCTCTAAGGTCCTGGAAAATCTCTATCCCTGCTCCTAGGAAGGCCTGGAGAGCAAACCCAAGACTACAGAAAGCACGGGGTAAGAGGCAGATCATCTGAGACAGGTACAGGACAGCATCAGCCTTGCCCCCACCTCTCCCTGACACTCGTCTCCCATTAATTAATTAGCTTGGACCTTTTAAAGTGTACGTGGCCCCTCAACCAAGTACAAACTGATTTCCACTCATCCTTACCGAGTCCCTCTCTCTGTCCCCAGGCAGCATGGCACAGAGAAGAGCTCCTGCTGCTGCCGGCACTGCTGGGAGCCTTCTGCCTGCATGGGCATTACACTGCCTGCTCAGGCTTTGCAGCCGCTTGGTTTATTTCTATATATAAACTTCGGAGATGCTTCCAGCACAGCCCAGCCAGCCTGAAGAGGGCACGCAGGGCTGCGTGGTGTGGGATCAGCGCGGTTCTCCAGCTACTCCCAAGCAAACTGGCCGACCTGTGCTTAGCAGCAGGGTACTGGCAGTCTGCAGATGCTTGCATCCCGTCAGATCCAGGTAAATCCACTGCTGCAAGGAGTTCCCCGCTCTGCAGAGCCTGACTGTGTGGTTGAATAAGCCATAAAGGGACAGAGGTCTTTGAACCGACAGCCAGGACTCGGAGGTCTACAGATCGGGTGGCTGCTTGCTGGATTTTCTTCCTGATCCGGTCAAATCATGGGAGTCAGATCTGGGATTTATCTCAGTTTCCTCATCTGACCCTGGGGTGGTTGCTTAGAGCCCGTCTTCAAAAGAGTGCCTGCGTTTTTCAGAGGCAGCTCTAATTGGGAAGCACTGACAATGACACAAGAGGCATGGCCACAGGCAGCACAGGTAGGGCCTGGAGGACTGCTGCACAGCAGGTCACAGCTCCTTGTGATCCCTGATGGAGAGTTTACTGGAGGGCACTCCTATCTTAAGGGCCTGGATTTACCCTTTGCTGACCTGTTGATTTGCATTTTGGGGACAAAACCCTTGGCCAAGAGTTGTGGTCAGGGCCTGAACTTCCTCCCCTTCTGCAAGGAGGAGCCACTGAGCACAGTTAGCTGTACTACTCAGCACCCTTTTTTTATAAGAGCTCTGCAGATATTCATGGCACGTTAATTACCAAGCTGGCAGCACCCTGCACAACCAAGATATTTCCGTTTCGAACACGAAAAGTGGGGCAGCTCAGCATGCCACTCACCTGGCAGCCGATGCAGCTGCTGAAGCAGAGCCACAAACTGGGGTGACATTTGCAGGCTGAAACCTCACAGAATGAAAACTTCAGAGAAACCAGGGGGCAAGCTGAAAAAATGGCACTGTTAAGCACTATTTCTAGTCCATTTCTAAATGTCTGTGCTTTTGTCCTTTTGTTTCCAGCACACTGTTGGGTTGCAGGCATCTCTTTCTCTTGGCTGAACGTCACACTCCCAAGGGCAGTTCATAAAAAGCAGTTTCTGTCCAGCAACACGGCTGGGGGGTTCCTTCATCTGCGTTAGGTTATTAAGGACCCATATTGAATTTAACATCCTCCCGTCTTCCCTGCCAGGATGAGTCAAACAGCAAAATGCATTTCTCTCCTGGCGCGAGTCCTAAGTGAATCAGCTCCTCAGACCATTCCTTCATCACCTAACGGGATCCTAAATTAAGAGTCCACCCTGTTACAGCCTGTTTTATATAAAAAGCTGGATGGATCTGAGATAAAATGGAAGGAAATCCACGAGTGGGAGAGGGCTTGTTCGGCTCTGGCTGACCTTGCCGGCCGGTTCCTGCGCATCCCTGCACAGCCTCCTCTCTGCTCGTCGTTTCACTCCTAGATTCCCACTTAACGCTTATCCATTTAAAACTTATCCTTTATTTTTGGTTTTAGCTTTGCTAACTAAGAACTAATAAGCCTTCTGGAAAATATTTCCCTCTAGACGACGTGCTGCATTTACCCCAGCTCCAGGAGCCATACACTGCAAAGCACACGTAGATCATCCTCCATTGGCTTATGTGCAACTGAATCATGCTAAGGAGTCATAGACCCATCAGCTTGCTGCTTCATGCTCAGTTTGGTTTGGGGTAAGTTTTGAAATGCATATATTGAAATATACCCAGCCTGTGTTGGGCATGCTTCTTTTTCCTTAGAACATCATCAAGTTTCTGTGTCTTCATTCTGAAGTCCCCCATAACAAAGTATTTTATTTCCATTACAAACACAGAAAAGCCACAATCTGCGTGCAAGGCAAAGCTTCAGCTCTCCCCGTGCATTCACAGGGCCAATGTCCTAGTGATGGCCAAGTCCCCGACTGCCCCATCCTCACTGCGTTTGTTGGGTGTGGGGGGGATTTTGGGCGTCTGTTGATGCTCACGTGAACTCGTATGAGCAGACAGAAATGTGATTGTGTTACTCGGCCTCATCTCACGTGGCTTCGTGCAGCCAACACAGATGCACAGACATCCAGGGCTGCGCATCCAGGATGTGCCCAGCTGGTGTGAGTGCAGCTCACGTGCATGCGTCGGTGCAGAAAGCAGCGCACAAACACGGTGCACGTGCAGAGGTGCGCACGGAGCGCAGAGCCACCCCCAGCAGCACACCCATGCGAGGGTCCTGATGCAGCTGTGCCTATTTCAGATATCCTGCAGCAAAGCGCACACACGTGCGGCCGGGAGCAAAAAAAAAAAAAAAAAAAAAAAAAAAAAAAAAAAAAAAAATTGGCACAAAAATCCCCCAAATTCGGCTGCTGCAACACGCGTGGCCCCGCGTTCCCGCCCGCAGGCTGCACACGCGCCGTGCACGCGCTCCGCGCTGCAGCCACGCGCGCGAGCCCCCTGCAGCCGCCGCGCGCTTCCCGCGCCCCCCGCGCGCGCTTCCCGCTCCTCAGCGCGCGGCCAGGTCCCGTCCCTCCCCCCCCCCATTCCGTGGGCGGGAACGCGGTAACGGCCGCTGCCCCCCCCCCCCGTTGCCATAGCGCCGGGCCGGGCTGCCGCAACCGCACCTGCGCCTGCGCCGCCGCCGCCCCCGGCCCCGTCCGTGTCCCCCCCCGTCCCCCCCCCCGCCACCGCCGCCGCCGGTGAGCGCCGGCCCCGCGGGGCTCCGGCGGGCGCCATGAGCCGCGGCTGAGGGCTGAGCGCTGCCGGCCGCCGAGGGGCCGAAGGCAGGTGAGGGGCGGCCGGAGGTGGGGGGTGGCGGGGCTGTGGCTGAGGGGATGCGGCCCCAACGGCTCCGCGTTGTCGTCGTTCCCCCCCCCCGCTGTCGTGAGGGGCTGAGGGGACCCCCCTGGCCTTTGTGAGGCGGCCCCGGGGCGGCGGCGGTGAGGTGAGGTGAGGAGAGGAGCGGGGGGGGTTGGTCAGGGGCTGGGCGGCCCCGCTTCGTGTTCCTGAGGGGGGGAGGAGGAGGAGGAGGAGGGCGGCTGCCGGCTCCTTGCTGGCCGGGGACCTCGGTCTGGGTGCCCCCGGCCCCGGGGAGCCGCCCCCGTTTTTCTCTCCCTGTCTGGAAAACGCAGCTCGGCGCTGCCGCCCCCCGCCCCGGGTTTTGCTTGGCGGCCTTAGCGCTGCCCTTGTGCCGGTAAGGCAGGAGCAGGTGGGTGGGGAGCGACCCTGGGCTGAGGCGAGCGGGTTCCTCCCTGGCAGCAAAGAAATGCGGCGCGACATCGGGCATGGAGAGCTGCCAGCTGCGGGGAGGCTCTGCCAGCCGAGCCCTGGGGTGGGACACGGGAGGAAGGAAGGAGGGGCGCTGCCTCCGGGGGTGACAGCAGCAGGGTGGGAGCTTGGCAGCAAAACTGGGCAGAGCCGAGCCCGTGGAGGTAAATGAAAGCCCAGACGCCGAGGCGGCCTTGGAGGGTGGAATTGGCCGTTTTGATCTGCATTGCAGGTGCACAGGAGGCACCCAGGGTACTTGTTGGCTTTGCCTCGGTGGTAAGATGCTCAAGCTTAAAAGGCTTTATTGAGGCTTTGGCAATATAAACTATGCTCCTTGACGTAATAAATAAATAAACAGATAAGACTAAATACAGTGTGTTTTTTCTGTATAACTTGCTCATTAGCAAATGTAATTCTGTAGTGCTTTATTGTGACTGAACCTCTGCGGGAAGCTGGACGTTTATGCTCTTAAACAAAAACAGACATTTGTGCTCTTGAATTGAGCATCACTTTTTGATTTATTTAAAGCTAGCGTTTTTTAAGCAGATAATAAAAGACTTGTAATTATGTGAATGTTGTGCTGATGTTCCAGCAGTGATTTTTAGTGAAAAAGGGCTGTAACAGAGGAAAGTATCATCTGCTTAAGCAGAAAATATTGATTATATAATATGTAGAAATATTAGAAAATTGGCTGAACTGGTGCATAACTGTTTGTTTTCATCCTATTGCCATACTTCTGCTTTGTGTATCTGTAAAGTTTCCGCCCCTATCGCCTTAGAAAAGACAAAGGCCTCGTGACCAGTCCAAATGCTCAATGCAGTTTTAGGTCCAGTGGTTGCTGTAAACTCAGAAATAGCAATCTTATTTCATTCCATAAAGCTCTTTCCTTTACTTAAGATTCCAGGTATAATTGCATACTTCTAAGGTTTCTAAATTATTTTAAAATGTATTTAAAATGTATATTCTTTATCATTCTAATTACAAAAATCAAGCTCTTCTTCCATATGCCCTAATTCAAGGGGCTGTAGACATTAAGGGCAATATATTTGTTTGTTCACATCTGCCACATTAGTGTTTAGGACCACATTAGGTCCTTTGACAGCAGCAGGGAGAAGAAAAACTCCCTGGTCCTATTATTGCAGAATGTGAAGCATAATGTACGGTAAAATATTTTTGGAACTTTAGTACAACTATAATTAGTACAACTGTAGCCCCTCTACTTTACTGTTTACAAACTAGTTTGCCTTTAATACCATTACGCACTGATTTCTAAGTGTGTTATTGCTTTTCCATGGGTTAAGAAATTGTGTTTTAAAATTGCAAAATCCTCAAGATTATATTCTCAAGATTCACAATGTATTGCAATGCTTACTTGTGTAAACAGAATGCTGTTATGTAATCCATTTTTTGCTCAAGTTCACGTTTCACCTCATTTTTTTGTAGTAAAAAAAAAAAACGTAGCAAATTGTAAACATCTTTCTGAAATAGTTCATAATGCTTGAGATCTTTTTGGTGACAAGTAACAAGTGACACTATGGATTTATGTATCTGTGTAAATGCGTCTGTTAGTAACTAACAGCAGTGGGTTTTTAACAGGTAGCAACTTACTGAAGAAATCCCTGTGTCGGGTAGCTTACTGTTGTGCTTTAGGGGAAATAGGGGTAGTCGGAGTAGACAAGTGCATAGATCTTCCTTGTTTTCCTGCTGCTGGTTGTTTGAAAAACAAAGTCACAGGCTGAGAAAAGAAAGACCTAAGGGTGTTGGTGTTGAGAAAAGGCGGTTGCATGAACCATCTGTGGTCTGGCTGTCTGCAGCTTTGTTCATGTCAGTTTTCTGCAGCATACAATAAAACATTGTGTGTGCTTGGAGTGGCTGTGAGATGTAGAAAAGCACAGGTTTGTGTGCCTTATTTCTGCTTCCACACTGTCGGCAGTGGAAGCATGCTGCAGTCAGCTGGTGCTGTGCAGCTGCCAGCAGCGTGGGCAGGCCGGGCTGTGGCAGCGCTGGTCCTGTCCCTTGGAGACGTGGTGCTGAGCGCCAGGGTGGAGCCCGAGCGCGGCGCTTGCCCTTTGTTCAAGCAGGAGGCTGTCATCAGAGCCTGGCTTCCCTTTGCATCCGCAGCATGCCAGAACACTCCCAGCTCCTTTCGTGTGCGTATGTCTAACACACCACCTGAAAGAGCAACTGAAGATGATGAATGCTGTATTTTGGAGAGCCGGGTTTGGGTGTTGGTGTTCAGGTGCTGCCTGCTGCACCTTGTCTCCAATTCCTGCACTTCTCTGAGAGCCGGTATCCTTCATATATCTGGTTGTAGTATCTTTAGTGAGCGTGTGCCTGATCTGTTGTTGTTCATTTTTAAATGATAGCAAAACTGTTTTCTTCTAAGTGAAGCTGTCCAGCAGTCTGATAATGGGTGTTGGTCAGTATCTCCATGGGATCAGTAACGTTGTCTGGGGATGCTGCACCAGCTTGTTTCCCTTGATGATATGAAGGAGCATGGTATTATAAATGGGAGCAGTACATTTACATGCTACGAGAAGTTAGAGATGTGGCAAATCTTTTCTGAAAATAATGTATTCTGAGTGCATTGGAATATCTGTAAGCTGGTTTTAAAATAGTCTTTTTTATTTAAAAAAAAAAAAAGCCTTTTATTTGGATCCCTTTCCTTCCTGCTGTTGAGGAGCACGTTTATTCTCATTTCACTCCTAGGAAAACTTGGGGTGTTACTTGAAAATACCATTAAAATATCTCGCTGTTTGTCAGTCTTAATTATGTGTGTGAGAGCCAGGATTCAAGATAAAAGTTATTTAAAAGTATTGATTGACTGAAAACTGGAACTTTTCATGACTTCCACCCAAATAGAACAGTGCTGAAGGGATGCAAGACACAGACTCCTGATAGCTCTTGAACAGGAGACGTTTATTGCCCTTTTTCACTAGTACATTTACTTTCCCCATAGCCCCACGCGCTGTCCTCACGCCCGAATCTGTCATACAGTTGGTTAGAGACCCTCAGACACGCGCCTTGAGCCAGCCAGCAAGTGGCCAATGCCCAAAGCTCATCTTTAACACTGTAGCCAATTTACTTTTATCTCAACCTTGCTCGAGTTTTTGTTTCTACCGCTCGTTTCCTCATTCTCTCTAATTCAGGGACATGTGAAACAGCGCGAAGCCACCTGCAAATTCCTTTCCCACAAGTGCCTGCCTGTAGAAAGGCTGAAGGTTCACCAGGGAAGGTAGCTCCTGGTAATTCGAGGCGGTGCCCAGAGGGAGGGCACACAAGGTGTCATTGATCACACCACTGTGGGACAGAGGTGTCACACGTAGGGGGTGTCTGTGTGGAAAAAGCCTGAATGATGTCATTAGTGGCAGGTTTCCTTTGTAACACAAGTATATGTGCTTGTTTGCTTTCCGTTCCTCATGAAAACTTGATTCAAGCTC